ATTGGCAGACGATATTATTTGCATGGTGAAAATTAATTATTAAAGGAAACCACGTTCTAATATTTAAATGGGTTGATGATGTCCTTTTGAGGAAGCTCATAAGTTTTGTCCATGTCAAACTTTGCAAGTGGATTTAATTATCCGACATGACAAATAAATTGAGTGGTAAGGTCTCAAGGAATAAAAGAAGTCAATTATATATAATTTTCAGTAATTTATTTAATTGATGGATATTTGTAATCATAAACGTGGGGAGATTATTAAGCATATAATAATAAGGAGTTTGAAATATAATTTTGAGATAAGGCTCAAGAGATAAATAATAAGTTTTTAGTGGACTAACTTATTATTAATGGACTATAAGATATTTGTTATAGGTTGAACATATGAATCCTAGGCCCATTGGAAGGTCGGTCTTTATTTCTCCTTAGGGTTTCTGTCGTAGCTTATATATAGATGTCTAAGCTCTCTAAATCAGCATCACTTTGATCATTCACGTTTTTTAGGGAGGCTGTGAGAGAGAGCAGAAATTCAAAGGTCTTTGCAGCCCACATTGCATCTGAATTTTGACGTTAGGGGATATTCGACAGAAGGTCATGACGTTCATCAAGTTATCTTTTATGTTTGTTGTTAGGTTCTATGTTCGTGCTAAGACGAAATCAATCTAGAGGGATCTCGAAGATAAACCCTAGTTCTACTTTGTAGGGTTTTAACGATTTTTTTTTTTTTTTATTCGATACACACTCCAAATGATTTTGGGATCTTTGTTCCAACAATTCAATTAATCATTCCAACAAACACATAGTGCACGTGTGTTCAAACAATCACAAGTGTATACGATAAACAATAAATAATACGAGTGATTTATTGACACCAAAACCTTCCTTGGGAAAAACCACGGGAAATTTTTTTGGTTCACTAAAGCTTTTTCACTACTTATTAAGTCAACATACAAGTACTCAAGACTTATACCTCTACTAATATCATGGTTAGATGCTCTTTTCATTGTTGTCTCTCTACCAAAAACCCTCTTTCAATGTCTAGTATAGCTTCACTTGGATTTCCTCGCCGCACTGTTCATCTAGGCCTCAAATAATCATGGGCACGCCAACGATCCTCTGTATACACTCATCAATAGGTTTATCAAACCTTCAAGATCTAGTTTTGCAAGTTGTGACGTTGTGTAGAATTTCTAGTGGTAGCTTTTTGGGTCTTAGGGATATAGGTTATGGTGGTAGCTCTCAAGATAGAAAGACGATTTTATCTCATAAGAAGTTTAACGTAGATGTGGAAAAAAACTCTTCTTATTTATAGGTCTGAAATAAGGATAGTCTTGGTAAATAAAAAAACTCAGAATTGCGAACGACCGCTCAATCGGTAGGAGTGCATTCATAGGACGGTTGTCGTTAGAATGAAAGACAAGTTTCAAACGCGACTAAGGCAGACACCACTCAAGAAACCATGGAGACTACTTAAGCGAGCTCATAGAGTAAGACCTGTGCTACCTTTTGTGACATTTTCTCATTTCCTTTCCTAAGTCATAAAGAGACTGCTCTAATGAAGACAAGTGAGCATAGATCCGTCCCTAAATGTTTTTAAGCATAAAACTATACAAAAACTTGTCCTCTTGAGCTGGGTGTTGTTCAAAGAGTAATTCGATTGTGACTCAAACTATTTATTCAAAACTCATAAATAGTTTATAATTTTTTTTAAAAAAAATCACCTAAGAGGCCTAAACAGATTACTTTTAATTTCATTTTCATCCTAATCAACCTAAATTAAAATTAACTAAGGGTTTATCTTAAGTGTCTATGTTATTACTTTATCCTAAGCATGAAAGTGTATACGGAGGTTAAATGTTGTTGTTTTGACGATTGATCTTCTCCCTTCAGTCATACTTAATAAAATCATTACTATGAAATATGTAGAGATTTTATAATAGACTCCATGAAATTAACCAATTATTAATATAATATAACACAACCTAAATACTCCAACTTGAAAGGTCCAAGCAAATAAAGAAGCAAGGAAGAGGAGCATTCCCGAGCTCTAGGATGAGTTCTTGAGGCGTGCTAGACTCTAATAGTGAAATGTGTTTAAATATTAATCAGACAATGGCTCTTTGGCGGTTAAATCCACATGAGCCACGATGCCACTTCCCGAGGCACTAACACACAAAAACATTGAATGTGGACCAAGTGTAAGTCACGTCAAGTTAAGTTGGGGGCAACTGATAAACGAAAAAAAAAAAAAACAAAGCACGTGCTCGGAATGCTAAGCTCAATAGTTCATATTAGTTTCAACTCGGCAGATAACCACCCTAGGAACCTTGGAGCTCAATAGAGTCTTGCCTCAAAACGAGTTTGACTAGTTCAACTCAACCTTATTTCCACATAGCTCGCAGGGGTGGGACAAACAAGTGGAGCAACCTACCCAATACGCGAAGTAGGATCTGCCAACAGCCTAACCATATGGCCTATAAAAAAAGGAGGCCATGAAGGAGATTGATATAAGTGAATCAAACACAAACAAAAGTTTCTTCTAATCCTTCAAATATCTTCGATTGATTATACCATCGGAGAGTAAACACCAAAAACTTATCTGATATTCTACTTGGCTTTGTAGATTACAGGAGGATTGTCCTAGTCCGCTGTTGCATCTGAAGCTTAGTGGGACGTTCTAAACCATCATCACACGTAATAAACACGTATTGGACTCATCTCGCCAGGTTCTTTTCAGTCTCGATATCACCTGCCCAGATGGTATTGACACCTTGATGTCTTTAATGGAGAATTATATTTACGTCCCTTAGATTTTACCCTAATTATGATAAATATCTCATAGTTAGTAAAATTACACTAACATCTGTCAAACTTTATCGGGTGTTTGTTAAGCATTAATTTTCCAAAATAAACACAAACACACGCACATTATTATAAGAGTAACGGCTTACACACATATATGTAGTCCCCAAAACAACACTCATCTATGCCACCACACCCCATTGCAATTCTTTTTGGACAATATCGGAGTTATGCACCTCCAATTTGCAATCTATTTCTATTGACGTGGGGATCAGTTAATATTTGTAGGCCAACTTTGAAATTCAAATATAAACTTGGATTGAATATGTCCATGAATAGAATGGTAAAATTATAAAAGTAATGGTCTAATTTATAGATCCCACGAAATTGTAAAGTTGTTAGCCAAACAATGGATTAAATAAGATACAAGATATATTTCATCCGATTTAAGTGGCCGAGTGTTTTTGGGTTGAATGGAGTATGATATCAAAAAGAAATCATATCAAATAAATAAAACTCAATACGAATCCTTCTCACTTGACACGATTGACAAGCCTAACCTGACTCAACGGTCATCGTAACGATTATGATCCATTGTGACTGGTGTGGGGTCAAAGACTATGTGAACTGTAGATCTATTTAATTAACTAAATGATATATCATGTAATTTGAGTAAATCCTGACGGGTATCAATATAATTTTTCCTATCTTGATAACGTACGCAAATTATACTATTAGATGACCATTGTTTTACGTTTTCTTCTTGCCTTCCTAACGGAGACATTGAAGATGACCAAGAAAAACATAAATAATAATAAAAAAAAATAGTTGTAATTGCCATTTGATCCGTGCAATGAATCAACATATGGCATATAGAGCTTCGTTTTTTCACACACACAAGGGAAATACAAAGACAATAGCATGTGGTTGAATTAGGGAACATAGTTTCCAACAGTCAGTATTAATACTACAGGAATTCTAGAATATGATATAGTTGATATGAATAAATCAATTAAATTAATTGTGAATAAGAAAAACTCAATTTTGACACAATGAAGTCTATTTAATTGATATTACCTTACGATTTTTAAGATTTAATTGATATATAGAATACTCCCTCCGTTCTTAAATATATGTCGTTTAAGATTTTTGCACATGGATTAAGGAAGCTATTAAATAGCTTTAATGTGAGTAAAAAATAATTGTACAAGACTAAAATACTCTTATTCAATACGTATTAGGAAGGAAAAGAATATGACTAAATATTTGTCGTTTAAGGTTTTTGCACAGGAATTAAGGAAGCTATTAAATAGCTCTAATATGAATAAAAAATAATTACACAAGACTAAAATACCCTTATTCAATACATATTGGAAATGAAAGGTAAGGAATATGAAAGACACTTAACCTCCACCAAATCTAATGCATTGAAAAGTTAAGGGTAAATTTAGAAAAAAAATATTAATTATACTTTGATTTCATTAAACGACATATATTATGGAACAAAAAAAATTGTATAAAACGACAGATATTTAGAAACAGAGGGAGTAATTTATTAAGCACTTATTGACAAACATAGATAAGGGTAAATTTGAAAGAAAAAATATTAATTATGTTTTGATTTCATTAAACGACAGATATTGTGAAACAAAATTTTTTTTGTAAAACGACAGATATTTAGGAACGAAGGAAGTATAATATAGTTAATTGCATTAGAAATTCCTAAAGTATGAGATTTGTTTTATTTTAGTCCCTAATATTTCAATTTTATCCATAAAATATTAAATATATTTTTATATGGTCTTTCAAGTAAATAACGTCTAGATTGCTAACAATTTTTTATTATAAATTTATTACTTAATACTTAAATATGAGCGAAAAAAATAATTTGGATAACTCTTGACAAAATTTTTACAAAATTTTTTGTTAATAACTACGCAAATTATGTAGTTTTGATTTTGAGATATCTAAATTTTGGTTAAGAACTATCTATATTACATATTTTTGATTAAGAACTATTCAAATTTTAGTCAAGAGTCACTTAAATTATTTTTTACCCATATAAAGGTATCATGTGAAAAATTTATGATAAAAAATTATTAATAATTTAGATGTTGTCTTGCCCTCAATATTTTATTTTGGTCAGACCCTCAATATAACTTAGATTGCTAAAAGAAATAACTTTATCTTATTCTTCTGGACTTTTTTCCATGTTCCAATCTCCAACCCAATCAAGGGAAGGTTCTACATACATATACACACATTTATATAATCAGAGCTAGTGTGTACGTTTTCACATACACCTTATCGGCAAAACCAGGAAACCAACCCAGTTATTCTCTCTCTGTTCATAGGTTGGTGATCTAGGGGGAGGGGGTGAAGTGGGTCGGACCAGCCATGGACTGGGAATGGTTGGTGGAGTTCTTGAAGGGCATGTTGAAGCCAATTGCTGCTCTTGCAGTTGTGCTTATGGCTGTGATATTGTCTTATACGCAGAGGTTGGGGTTAGGGGGTGAAATGGTTTACTCAATCTTCAGAGCTTTTCTTCAGCTCTCTGTTATTGGGTTTGTTCTTCAGTTCATTTTCAACCAGAAGAACAGTGTCTGGATCGTTCTTGCTTATCTTTTCATGGTATGATTCTCCTCCCTCCCTGTTTGGTTGCTGAGAAACTTGAAGAAAAATAGAATGAAGGATATTCTCCTGATTGTAAGATTCAGAATTATATCTTTCTTATTTTCTTGATTTCAATGGTAACCAAATGGGATCTCTCTCTCTCTCTCTAAGTTTGTATTATGTGTAACACATGGTTTTACTAAGTTAAAATTCTATTCTTTGTATTGATTGATGATGCTGGATTATAAAGGTAAAAACCAAAAAAGGGTCCAAAGAAGAGAATTTGTTGGTGTTGAAGAACCAGGGAAAAGGAACTTTTTTGTTATTGGAATTAAATCTTGCTTGTTCAATTGCACACTGCTATTCCAATTATTTATTTGTTTTCTTCAAATATCCCTCTTTCTGCTGGCTAAAAACTCTTTTGTCATGGACAATTTTTGTTCAATGTATGTCACCCATTGTTGTCAAGGAATCAATTTCTTCCCCCTTAGTCCTTTACTGAAATGGAATTGCCGAAAAAATGAAGAATTCATAGCTTGATGAAATTGGGCTATTACTTTGTCTTTCTTTTCATTTTATTTTTTCATCTTTTGGTATGATTGATAGACCTTGACATTCTTGGCTGCTAGACCTTTTTCTGCAATGATTAATTGCTTATGAGGATCAGGGAGGCTTCTCACTTCAACTACTTTTTATAATTGTGCCCCTGCAGGTTTGTGTTGCTGGTTACACAGCAGGCCAACGTGCGAAACATGTCCCTCGTGGGAAGTATGCGGCAGGAGCCTCCATCCTGGCTGGAACTTCAGTGACAATGTTCCTTTTAGTTGTGCTGAATGTTTTCCCTTTCACTCCACGGTACATCATCCCTGTTGCTGGGATGATGGTTGGCAATGCAATGACGGTCACTGGGGTTACAATGAAAAGACTCCGAGATGATATCAAGACACAAATGAGCCTGGTTGGTCTTATTAAATGGGCATTTTTAGGGTGGTAGATTGTCATAACTCAAACATTTTCCAAAAATTTGCTGCAATTTTCCTTCTTGTGACAAAATTTATTGACCTATGTTTTCTATATAGCCGTTTCTAATCTCATAACATATATGAATGTGAATGACAAGATGTTGTGCCATCGCTCTTTTCCTATATTCATGAACATAGTTGTTTCTTTTTCTGTATATCGAGTCGTCCTCAGTGCTTACCATAGGCTTCAAGTCTGGAGGTCCAATTTGGCATTACTTTTTACAATTTTATATGATTTCTTATTGTAGGTGGAGACAGCATTGGCTCTTGGGGCTACTCCTCGCGAAGCAACGTTTCAGCAAGTGAAAAGGGCCCTTGTTATTGCGCTTTCTCCAGTCTTGGACAATGCCAAAACTGTTGGTCTCATATCACTTCCTGGTGCAATGACTGGACTCATAATGGGAGGAGCTTCTCCTCTGGAGGCCATTCAGTTGCAGATTGTTGTGATGAACATGCTTGTTGGGGCTTCAACTGTTAGCAGTATCATGTCCACATACCTCTGTTGGCCCGTTTTCTTCACCAAAGCTTACCAGTTAGAAACGAAGGTGTTTTCTTCCGATTGAGGTTTGTCTGATCTTAACTCCCTATGTTCATCGTCATCAACTGAATTAACCTATACAGGCATCGAGGGCCTAGTGGTTACAGTTTCCAGTGGATCAATCGCCCTGCAAATGAATATGCACATGAAATTGTATGATATATTTAGTTACCTTTCTTCCTTTTCCTTTTTCCAATAGTAAGTTTTGAAACAATGAGTATCCTAGCATTTTTTGCAGGATTTCAGTTAAAAATTCATTTTTCTATTAAGGAAATTGCAATTATGGTTTATGCAAATGTTTAAATCGAGTGTAGATGAGTCTTGCTTAGAATTTCTAGCATCGACCCTTTCTTGCCACCCCCCCTGATGTGCATCAGTGGATTATGTTCTAATTCATTAGCCATCTTTGGAGCAGATCCATTATTACAATATTTCCCAATAAAATCATTAAAGGGTAATAAGTTAGCTGTTTAGAACACATTCCTTGATGTATGCTTTGGAATTCATGGGCTTGCATAATAAACATACATATAGATCATTGAAAACAGGGAAAACAATTATTTGCCCAGTGGTCCTATGTTCAAACCTAGTGTAGGTATTGCATCAGATGGAATATCTGGAGACATGTTAGAGGCCGTGGTTAGTGGGTTCCTATTTTTATAATTTCCTGCCGGAAAATATGAACAAACCACCAGTCTTCCTCTTTCATAGTTGCAGGTGACCCCGTAGCACCCAACCTGTCTAGTAGTACCCCATGTAACAGCCAGATAGTGGCTGCACTGGCAATCGTCGGTTTCTATAGGGCATCTGCACACATTCCTCACATGATCGAAAAACACTTGCTCCTGGAACCAACTACTCACCACGTCCGTCGGAGAATGCTCCTCGTATTGCTCCCAAAACGTATTCTCACCGTATGGACCCTGGGAATGGTGCCTGTACTGGCAGTCATTCTGGCGTTGCATGGCCCAATTCTGGGCGTATGCGGCCAGGGTTGTGTTCCATTCCAAGGGTGGTACATGCATGCTCATCCTCAAGTCATTGTGAGCTTTGAGGTATTCTAGATCCTCCCCGGTGATAGTTTGCTGGGGAGGCTTGTAATAAGGGTGGTGAAGCTGGTGTCTGAATCTGCCTCGGCGCCTTGGGACATTGGGGTGGCGCCTAGGTGCAGTTAAGGCGGAGACATTGAGTGCATGAAGAAATGCAAAGATGAACAATGCAACAAGAATGGTGGCCTTTGACATTGGTACTACTATGGTGGTTGGTTGTTCTATGGTTGGCTGCTCTCATTTCCTTGAGAGCACCCTTATTTGAGAAGACAGAGAGAGAGAGGGGAAACGCGTTTGTCTGTTTGTTTGTTTTCTTTCAACTAAGAGGTATCCGAGTCTCTTGGAACACCTGTCTTGGACACATGTAGTCCCCTAGAACAAATTAGTCAACAGAAAATTTTTCTTGTGTGTGTGAAGGGCATTTTTTGTGCAGTTTTGTCAAGGTAATTGGGGGGTGATGGCTTGTGTATTTACTATAAGAAGCTAAAGGCATGAATGGTCCTTGTTTGTTTGACCGCTAACCGTTAAGGATTAGGCAATTACCGCCGTTTTAGGACGTCCTCAGGTAGTTTCCCCACGAGTTTTCCCACTTTTTACTATGACTTGTTAGATTGGCTATGATAGAGGGTTGTTCCATTCTTAATAGTTTCAAACTTCATACAATATCCTGACCAAAAAAAAAAAAAAACTTTATACAATATAACAGTGGCTCCACCAAGTCCTTGAGAGATTGAGAACATGGCCAGAGACACAAAGAAATGGGCAGTTAGGCTTCTCAATGGGGCAAATTTTAATCCGAATTCGAGTCTATTTAACCGGATATGAATTAATATTTTAATCTATTTTTTTGAATCCGATTAGATTTCTGTAAACGAATTTGAATTTGGATACATGTAAATTTAATTTGATAAAAACCGATCTAGTATATATACACACACACATTTAATTGAGAGAAATTATTGCATACATATTTAGTTAAATTATTAATGAGATTGACATGAAATTAAATAGAATGATTGATTGATTAAATTACGTTGAGAATTAACTTAACTTTAGTAACATTATATTTTTATGAAATTTTGTGGGGATTTAAATTCTTAGATTGGATCGGGTAATTGGATTAGATATCTAATTATTAACGGATGCGGATATGGATTAAGATTTTGAATTTCATTGAGTAAATGGATGGAATTCAAATTTTTTATCAAATTCAGAAAGAAATGATCCATTGACAGACCTAGATCAGCCAAGCTACCTGCCACTATAGGATTTAGGAAGTGCCACGGTAGGATTTAGGAAGAGTTACAGGTATGCAGCTAAACATCTTTATGTGAAAAGACTATTTCCGTGGCTAATATCTATGATGGCCCGGTTAGAAGGGAGCAACCTTATTGCTGTAAAAAACTCCACCAAGTCCTTGTTAGACACAGCTTTCCAGGTCTGGCCTTAGCAAACTAAGGCCGGGCCAGTTACCAAAGATCCTCCCACATAGTCCCATTTCATCCAAGCCATAAGCATGTGCAGGTTCAGGCTATTGCACACCAAGGATTATAATCAAAAGAAGGCTGCATTTCAATGTCCTCGTTACTGTAATATGCATCAAACAGTTCTTCACCTTGGTAGGGATCCTCTGCCCTCCCCATGGCACTGCCATAAGGCTCGCTCAAATCCACTGTCGAAAGCACCATACACATCAGAGAACATCTCCTCTCCCTACCTGCCAACACCGCTGGACTCATATTCGCCAAGCCATTAGTCACTGATATTGAAAGGCTGAAGTAACCCTTGTAAGCCTGCCCAGTGTGTCCATTCTCATTCCAAGGTCTGCAGGTAAAATCAAATTCTCCTACCATGTCACCCGATCCAACTCCTCTGAGGGAGATGGAAGTGGCTCTCAGTGAGGGCTGCCTTCACATTAACTGCCATCAAACCAAGTGAAATGATATGATGCATACTTTACGAAATCAGGTTCACTAAATTTCAAAGTAGAGCCGGGCATGAGAGATTACAAACTTCAAGCTATAACCCTCACTCAGATACTCATCTCCCTTTGCATACAATATTCAATCATGCATGAGAATATTTGCCTAGTTGTAGAAGCTATTCTAGCATTCTTATCTAAAGAAAGAGGAGGGGAAAAGAACTGGATTTTTGCACTACCATATCCTTGATCCTTCTGAAACAGAATCTCCTTAAAGATGAAAAAGTGAAGAAAGTCCCATAACAAGAAAAGGTAAAAAAGGGAAAAAGCTTAGGTATCTTGGCTAGATAGTTAAAAACCTTACTAGAGTCTCTTATGCGATGGAGCTCACATTTATTTCTATAGGTATTCTATGTATTTAAAGAAGCAGTGAAGGTGCTGCCCTTGCTAGTAAATTTTCCACAGAGATATGCCATCCCCTTTTTATTGGACTAAGGGAATTCATGGGTAGAGCGCAAAATCCCTTCTTGTGTAGTCAGTCTACCTACAGACCTGGATGACCATATGCTGATACTCAACTCTTTGTTTCAAGTTGTTAACAAAATGATGCTCATATATACAACACAAATAGTGCCTGGAGTTTTTATAAAGGATTGCACGTAGATGGCAAGAATAAACACATTAGGGGAAACATCAAGTGGGCCAAAATTTGTGATCCAAACAGTTCATTTAGATATATACAATGAAACATGTGTACAAGTAAAGGAAAAGGGGAAGGGGAGAGCTCATGAAAAAACAAAAGTCAAATGCTGTCAATCAAAAGATATACATAAAAGTCAAATGAGGTTGTAGAAAGGTGTAAATGGAAATACTCATCCATGTCAACCAATGAAAAAGAAAAAAGAGAAATTAGCTGCATCCGCTTAGTTTGATTTCACCACAAATCCCTCATTTGACGCTTTTGCTCCAGCTCATTCACCAAAAACTTACACAAATTAGTACCATAATTGACACGGCACCCAATGCTCCGTCAATCCATTGCACACTCAAATCATACTTCACAATTTCTAGAAGTGGGGGCAGTTCCAAATTCAAATGTGAAAATGATCACCTCTATGGTTCAATATTGGAATTACAGATCGCCTATGATCATCACCATTTCGCATTGGGATCACAATACCTTACACCGGTGACCAGGATATCAGTCACCAACACTGAAGATAAGCATAACTCCTCTCCAGGTGTTGTAAAGAAATGCTTTGCACTGCGAAATAACAATGCAGAGAGAGAGGTAGGGCCTCAGGGGAAAAAAAGAAGAATTCAAGTAGATTATGAACTGTTTGGGATCTTCCCCAAAAAAGTAGGACTTATTTGTCCATTTTCGAAATTTATAGGACCTAACAGTTTTTTGATGCACAAAGCAGTACTTAATAGTTCTTTTCCGCAGAAACTACCATTTTTAGTAAATCAGTGCATGGTTTGCTTATGTTTTGCCAGGCTACTTTTAAATTTTACGCCATCAACACTATTGAGATTCACATTTACACTCACATCCCTAACATAATTCCCAACAACATTTTTTTTTCCAAATCAAAATGTTTAACAGGTAAAATGATTCAAGATTAAACTGAGCCATGAGAGCATTTCCAATCAATTTACTTAACTTCAAATTTGATGCAAGCAAAAGCTGTCTATCTGAAAGAACATTACACGAGTAAGACCATAATTCAAGTGAGCACCCTATATCTACACACTATCAGTCCTTAAGATCAAGAAAGTGGCTTACTCTGAGCTTGTGCTCCATATTGCATGATTGAAATTATCCAACTCTTCAGACTGGGAACCATATACAGATTTGATTGTATCGATACAGCAACTGCAACCAAGATAAATTTGAACATCTAAAACTAAATACCCCTACCAAATTGGTGTTCCATATAACACACACACACACACACACACATTGGGTGTTCAAGACTCGAGCTTTTACAAAGCCCAGAGGGCCAGAAAACAAGAAAATGGGAGTGTTTTGATTTGTACCTGCAAGCCTCCTTGTTGAACTTTCTCTTGTCAATTCCATACAACGTTTGGAAAACATCTGGCTCCACTCGACAAAAATATGGGCGATCTGATAAAATAAACTTTTAAAGAGGGTTCGTACAGTCACATATGAACAAAATAAAGATTAGGCAATAAAGATTCAAAACCTTAGGCAAATTCTCACCGGCATAGATAGAGCATGTTCTTGTGCTTTTTTCGTAGTGTATGCACCACCCATCTGCACCTATCAAACTTTTGTACGACTGAAAAAACAGAGAATTATCATCAAACACAAACATACACACACACACATTGAGCAAACAATTGATTCGAAACCTGGCTATCAGAAGGGTCGTCAAAGATTTCTTCGGGGGAGGGAAAGGAGGGACCTTTTTGGAGCTTGCAGCAAGCGCCACAACCCTGAACACACTGCCACAGAGGATCCTTTTTCTTGCCGCCGAAGCCGGAAGTAGTAGTGGTGGTTGTGGGGGCGCCACCGCTCTTCTGGCCTCGGTTGTTCTTCTGGGTCTTCAAGTTTTGTCTCTGTCGTGGCCGATTCGCCTCCGAGTGGATGGTGGGGTTACTGGCGTAGCACGGCGGAGACACCACCACTGTGTACGTCATTTCTCTGTGGCTGAAGATTAGATTAGGCGGAGCAAATGGATTTTGAAAGAATATGGTACGAATTCGTTATTTTTTGGAAAAATTTCAGTCACGCCCTTTCTATTTTACTGTATCATTAAGTACATTCTTTCTATTTTTTTAAATCTTTACTGCACTTCTTTTAAATTAAAAGTGTTAATTAAATTTTATTAAATTATCCGTGATATATTTTAAAAAAAATTTCATCCATATCTCCTCTAGATAAACATATTTTCAATGAAACCCTTTTTTTTTTCAATTTTTGTAGAGAAGTATTAAAATTCAATTTGAACTAATTAAAATTTTGATAAAAAAACTAATTCAAATTTATTTTTTACTTATTAAAATTTGATTTGATTAAAATTATATTCGAGCCAATTAAAAATCACATTTAATTTTAATAGACCCGAATTTTGATACATAAAAAAAATATAAATGTTAATCTACTCAAATTTTAATTCGTAAAAAATAAATTTTGATTAACTTGAATTGAATTTTAATTGACATGAATTTTAATAAGTAAAAAAAATATAAATTTTAATCGACTCGAAGGAAATTTTAATTAGCGCTAACAACCCAGATAGAGTTCAAATCAACTTAAATTTTAATGCGTAATTTTTTTTAATTAGACTCAAATTTTAATATATAAAAAAATAAAATTTAATCAGTTTGAATTGAATTTTGATCGGCTCAAATTTTGATATGTAGAAAAACGAATTTTAATCAACTTGAATTTTAATACGTAAAAAAATAAATTTTACTCGGCTCGTATTTTAATCAATTTTTATGTAGAAAGGTTGTTTGGTGTTTTAGGGGGCAATTTTAGTATTTTAAATGTGTTGTTTTTTTTAAAAACGCTGGTTTAATGGTAAGAGTATCAACTATATTTAAATTATAAATTACAAAGAGTGTTAGTGAAGTTTTAAATAATAGAAAAGATAGTCTTAAAAATATGATAAACAATAAATACTTATTTTTTAATATTAATAGTTGCACACAATTCCGGTTCACATGACGTTGTTGTATCCAAATGAAACATAACAACCTAATAGACAGTCGCACAGTTTAATGGGGGCAGCCAACGGCCTCATGTTCCCATTACCGAGGATCTATTGAGGTGATCTTCGAGTACTTTTTTTATTTTAATTTATTTTTAATTATTAAAATACAAAAAAAAAAGATAGTTATTAAGTTAATGTTACTATGTTTACATCAGTTAATTAGGTGGCATTGTCCATATTACTTTTACATGTAATTCTTGATAATTGTTATATATCAATTACCTTCAGTAATTTTGTATCATGTTACTATATGCTAGTTAAGATATTGATAATATAACATCATGTTACAGTGTCACCCTATGCTTGGATCATGTTACTATTGAATTTGAATTGTTAAGAAAATCTTGTGATCTGAATTTCACTTAATATACAAACGATTTATTCGTACATCAAACTTCCATATATAACTATCAAAATATATATATTCCATATAAAACTTCCGTTAATTATCATAATTTTTTTTATCAAATAATTATCAAAATATTTAATAAATAATTTCCATATATAACTCGATCAACGGTTCCCATATATACTTCAATTATCTAACATATGTGACTTTCTATAACTATCAAACGTCGTTTGTTGCTATTCTACAGGGTAGGGATACAATAGTAAACTTGACAAAAAAATGAACTTAAAACCAAATAAGTTTTCTTATCGGACTTTATCTCTACATAAGTCTATATAGGGGGACCAGCTTCCAAATTTTTCTATTATTTACACACAATGCAGCACAACTCTAACAGAATAACTTTTATGAATTAATGACTTACTCTAATAATGAATCAGTCTCATTTTTATGGAGTTCTAAATACTTTTTATTCCTTTTCATTAAATCCTTTAATATATGGGAGTGTGACTACATACTTTTTCTTGTTCCAAAAAGCAGTAGGAATAATATTACAAATTTTTTTAGTTATCTTATTTTCAAGTTCTTTTAATTTTACTCTAAATTCATTGGTCTCCATTGTATGACATATATTTAAAATCTTTACTTTTTGTTGTAAAAAGTTTATGATTTTTTTTTACAAATCAAATTTTCTTTTATTTAATTTATTATTTTAATTTGAGGAAGAGTTATAAAATCACATAATATTTGTGACCTTGCAAAGTAGTCGGGATTCCTTTGAAATCAATTCTTTCTTGTGGTTCAATCATAGATAAGAATTGTGTTCCTAATATTACCAATTGAGTTAAATTTTCTGTAAGCATAAAAGTAGTATGAATACAAATTCCTTGGTTACAGATAAAAAATTTGAGAGTTTAAATTTAATGTTTAATTTAGAACCGTCGGTCGTACTTAATGATTATGTAATTTTTTCAAAATGCTTTGTAGGGATTAATCCTTCTTTTATGCAATTCATATCTGTCCCACTATCAATTAAGGCAATAATTTCGATAATAAATGCTTGATCAATTACTAATATGATTCTAACATGTCATTTTCGATAGATTATTTTTTCTAATACATTTAAGTATTCACTCGTAGAATCCTCTCTTATTTCTTTTAAATCCTGGATTTCAACATTGTTAGTTTCTATTGGCCTTTCTTCTAGTGCAAAGAGTGTTTGCTTTATCAATTTTATTTCAGCTTTAGATTGATTAATTTCTCGTTTAAGATCTTGCATAGAAGTTTCCTTTTTTTTAAGTACTACAGATTCAGATCTGTTTAGTATTTCTTTTAAAGAATATGTTTAGTATTTCTTTTAAAGAATATAGTTGTGACATAGAAGGTTTTTTTTCTTCTGTAGTTAATTCCAAGTATTGCTCTATAGCTTTCCGTTTAGATAAATTTATTCTATAAGGTCTAAAATTAGTGATTGTGATTTAGTTAAAATGTTTATACTTTATATATTTATGTCTAATATAACTTTATAATAATTAGTTTGGGCTTGATAGTGTGATGAGCAGGCTTTATCCTTCTCTAATACATCATCATCAGATGAACACATGAGTTGTCTCATTTCCGGAATTACAGATCCATGAGAACGAAATCTTATAGAAATCCTTGGCATACTCTTGAATTAAGTCAATAAAAGGCTCAACATTTGAGAGATTCCTTTTCATTTTTCCAATAGCTTCAATGATATTCTTTGAGTCTCCTTCCACAATAATATTAGAATACCCCATTTCCATGGCAAAACCTAGTACTTTAGATGCTGACAATGCTTCAATATGATTAGCCGTAGAGAAACCCTTAGCAAAGTGACATAGCCCAAACACAAAAGAACCATTACAATTTCTAATAATCACTCCAAAACCCCCTGCCTGTTCATTGGTGAAGACTGCTCCATCAAAATTAATTTTAAAACATCCAATTGGAGGAGGGGTCCAACAACATTGATCCTCATTCAAAATTGCCATCAAACGAGGAGAGAAATAAGTATGAATAGCAGTATACTAGTTAAGAAATGATTTAACAAAAATTACAAGCTGATTAGGAAGAAAAATATTTTGGTGCAATCTAGCTCTATTACCGACATACCATATCTACCACAATAGAGTCAAAATGACATCAACTTGTTTAGGTTGGAATTCCTCCATAATGATAACAGAAAATCTTGAATTGAGGGAAAAACAACCAGAGGAAAAATAATATCAGCAGCATCCCGTACCTTGATAGAGTAAGGGCATTCCAAGAATAAATGCATCATTGTCTCTTGAGGATTTTCACAAAGGAAACAACCATCACATACTAGTAGATGCTTACGATGGAGATTACATTGCGTGGGTAAAATGTCTTGGAACAACCTCAAAGCAAAATGTTTAATCTTGCATGAGATCTTCAAATTCCAGAGAAAATCCCTCCATTTCCCAGAACTCATCACATTGTCTTTACCTTTATAGACATGAAGAGTTTTCTCCTTAATCAACCGATACCCACTCTTCATAGAAAAATACTCAAATTTAGTATAGTGCCATACCTACCAAAACATCCGGAGGTAGATGTCCACTTAGAGGAATATTTGCAATCTCCTCTACTTTAAAATTCAAGAATCTAGTGTTGAGCAACTCGAAATTCCAGCATCTTCGATCACAGTCAATCAGCGAACTAACGAGTATATCATCTGCTAGATTGGGGAGAGGACTAATAACTCGAAAGGATGAGGGTCTAGGAATCCATTTATCTCCTTTAACCTTTATATTACACCCATATCCAACGTGCCAACGCAATCCAACCTTAACGATCTTATGTGCCATCAAAATACTCCTTCATGTATAGGACGGATTAGCCCCATGTGTACCATCCATCAAAGAAGAGGGAAAATATTTAGCCTTTAGTGTAAAATTCGGAAAAATTTAAACTTTTGTAAATAAGGGCAAAACGATAATTTGTCACTACAGAACGGGTTAAAAATCTAAATTTTTTTAGATCTCGGTTAACGAAACGGACCTCACTGTTAGATTCATCTCACAAAATCTAGTTACCCAATTAAATTTCATTGAATTCTGAGATAGTCGAATTTTTTACGTTTTACTAGGCAGTCGAGTCTCGGGTGACCCAAAAAATGAGATTTTTGATTAAATTTTAAAATTTGGAAAATTATTTAAGGTAAGTTAAAATAAAAATATTTTGAGCTTAAACCGGGACGAAATTTAATCGTTTCGGGTGCGAAAACGAACCCGAAAAAAAGAGGTCGTGTGACGCATTGTGAGCCAAGTAAATTAAGGGGTATAAATAGGAGAAAAAATCAGATTTTTCCTCCATTGTGTTCGCCCTTCACCTGATAAAAGAGAAGAGAGGGAAATAGAGTAGCTTCTTCACTTTTCTCTATGATCTACAAGATTCGAGTGCTCGAATTCACTCGGGCCAAGAGGAAAAGTTGTTCTCCTCGTCAAGGGCTACGCCTACGTACCAAAAATGACGGGTTTTATCGAAGATCAAGGTACGATATTTTTGAAAGCTTGGGATTTGGGCTA